GGGGGGGGGGGGGGTGGTGTTGGTTTGGGGTAACAATTAATACTTTTATCATCACACATATATAAACCCCAAAATACTGCAATCGAGTGTTTTTTTAAGGTAAGTGTACATAAATATAATCACTTGCTACCATCAGTTCAGTTTAGAAGCTAACTAAGCCACAGGTTTAATTAAACAAGGAAAACTCAGAAATAAGACATTTTAATATTTTCTTTAGCTCTGTTGATATTTGTTTTAGCCTCTCTAATTAATCTCGACAATTGTTAGTTAATTGATACATTAAATATCCAGGGTGTGACTACGTCCACAAATAGAACAAAAATAATTCTTGATGAGACAAAGTAGACCCTTATGACTTCCAATAAATCCTATGGAAATTTTGATCAGATTTGGAAGTTATCAAAGCGTTCGCGGTAATTCTCTTCTATTAAGACCCAATTGTCTGGCTCTCGCACGAAATCAAATGTATTTTTAGTGCTTTCATTAATATCGTGTTATCTACCTCCTTTTTCTTCTTTGACAAGCATTGAATATCTTTCTTCCTTGTGATTTTTTCTAGTCTAGAGAATTTAATAGCTTTGGAATTAATTCGCTTTTCTCTGCCACACACGTTTAATTGTGTCCTTTCTATCGTTTTAAATAAGGAAAATGATGTAATTGTTCTGTAAAGAGGCTTTTCATAATCGCACAGAAAACGTGACTGGTAAAACGGAAAGCTCTTGATATCATTAAAGTTTATTCTGTAATGAGATACTTTCACAATCATGGTGAACTGTTATTGATAAATTAATTGTATTTATGTCTCTTTGTGGTACTCATTTCTCAATGTGGTCATGAAGAAAGCACCCAAACATTCATAAATAAGACTGTGTCAAAGAAAACGCAAGCATTTTTCTGTTTTTCATTTCTTGGCTTTCATTGACTGACGTTGGACAAAATCGACTCTAGACTCCTTTTATTGATAATACAATAAGAAAAAACTTTGATATTATCATCTTATAGTACTGTTATTTGTATAAAGATTTAAAGAGTATGCTGTCAATCAACGCCAATTATTTTCCACTTGATAGTAATCATTTTAACATGATGTGATTGTATCATCAATGTTACTAATTGAATTGTATTTGAAGAATTCGCATGTAATCATGATTTACCGTTAGCCATAGTACAATGCATTATACAGCATCTCATGCATAGTTTGCAAGTTGAAACAAAGTAGCAGAGTTACAAAATATAATACTCATTCGATCCAGATTGAAGAATATAGTACTATTTCGAAGTTTTGGGGGATCGATCCAGGGACCTCAAGATTCTAGCATGCTGCAAGCTAAGTACGTGACTGATCTATATTGGGAAAAAACTCAGTTGTAAGAGCGGCCCACTTGTGTTTATAAGTGTGAGAGAGAATCAAACCCTCCCTCCCTGAAAACCAATATGATGTAATTGTTGGGTGTAGAACATAACATTCTTCTGGACAACCGGTTGGTACAGTGAGATTAAATTTGTCAGGTGGTATTTTCTTAAGGAAAATCCCAAGAACTTCTTACTGTCAATTTTTTGAAGTGGGGGAACTACAATGCTCTAGTGCATTTTGATTTCATAATAATCGGTAAAATATTAAAATGCCAGCGTGATTTATAAGTAGTTGTCTATGAAAAATGATCTGTAAAGAGAGCTTACATTGATTTCTACTGGCTACAATCGGCTTATATCCTGATTTATGGTAAAATATTACTTTGTTTTTCTGACAAAATAGGTCAATAACGTTTAATAACATATTTATCATGAACAAAATTCATATTATAGCCCGGAAAGCTTGTCCGTGGCTGATAAATATTTTAATGATATATATCAAGTGCTGTGGTACTTGTGACTACCAAATCAGATTTCAGAAATTAAAATTTGACTCGCTTATCTGAAAAACTCTAAACTAATGTCAAACCAAATTTTACAGCTAGTTATTGAAAATGATTTTTGAGATATATTTGTGATAACAATATTGTCCATACACCAGTAATTGCCTGTTTTGTTTGGCCAAATACCTGGTGCACTTGTCCAACAATATTTTTCAGAGTCAGTGTGCTCAGACTTATATGTTTCCTATACATCCAAGTTGACCTGCAACGTAAATGACATCAAAGTAAACTGTTCATGGATGTGTCCCACAATTGAAAAAAAAAGATAACTAATCTAATAGGAATGCCCTATATCTTTCATAATTGTTGTTCCTTGTTGTGCTTTTTCTTGAATGTTAAAATAAAGAAATGAAAATGCCTAAAGCAAAGCAATGTTTGAACTGTCTAGACCATTTGAATTATATAATTAACTAGAATGCTGTAACTTCGAGGGTTGTGTGACCTGTGTAAAAAGAATTTCAAGTGACATTTATAAAAGAAAGGATGATTTAAAAATCATTCGTTTAAATCCCCATGTTTACCATATTTAATTAAGTTTCGAAGCATTTCTTTGATATCACAATGTATTTTTAGATAAGAAACGCTTATAGTGTTATCCATAAATAATAGTACATGCGTTTTTTCAAATATACCGATCTTGTGATCTACTTGATTTTAGTTATTTAAGTTTAATGTACCTTTAAATTCCAATATACGATAAGCTAAAATACTCTACTTCAGTTAGAATTTTCATAATGTCCCTAAGGACAATTCTAAGCTAAGATTAGCATACCAGTACATTCGGTGCATTAGATGTATTTCATTATATACTTAATCCATAGGCTTCTCACTTTCACAAATTGAATTAGCCAAAAAGGAACAAATACAAAAAAATGTGAATGAAATGCACATTAAAACGATGGATTGTAATTAAAACTCATTCCATCATAGAAACAATCTAATAAATCGCAACTCTTCTGAATCACGAAATCCGATGGTTCCCAAAAGATAGCTTTATTTTCCTAATGCAGCTCCAATCTCAACCCTTTCATCCCATTAAATCATGTCAGTTCTCTTAATTAGATCAAAGAAATTGAATATCACAGTTAAGAGCTTCATACATGAAAGAAAAGATATATACACAAGACTGCTTAAAGTATTTGGTCACGGATAAATTATCTTCAAGAAAGGCATGCAATTACAGTTTTGTTGTGCAAAGAGGGTCGGGTACAGAAGGCCAACTTTTTTCGCAGTTAAAGCAAATGACATCAGAATGTGAACAGAATACACGGACGCATAGGAGGTTTTGAGTAAAAGAATAAGAGACAAAGTTATCGAACTTTTTAAAACAACATATTAACTGCAGTTTCAGTTGCAGTTTTGTAGTTCTCTTCATCATTTTTTGGTATGTATGAGTTTTCACAATGACTAACAATAGGTAAACCAATGTAATCTGGTATTTCCTAACGAATAAAGCTTCTAAAAAAATTGAACAACAAACTGATTTTGTGTCTTAACAGTTGTGTTAATAAATTACATTATAACATCGTCCATGATCACAATTGTAGAACTGTCCCGTGTCGTTAATCCATGCGTATGGTTAACAAAGAGAGCTTTTCACACGAAATAAAGTTAAAAGACAATTGCCACAGTCATATTAAATAGAATTTAAGAGAATCAATTGGACTAGCTTAAAACTCTGTCTGTGATAGTAGCTTCTGCCCTTTGAATTCCATGCATGTGCATATTGAGCGCCGGTGGGAGAGGACCAAAGTTGACATGTCTATAATTGATTTATTGTTCTTCATTGGTCTTTGGTCTGTTCACTGTAATAATCAGTGTTTTGTTTCATAAAAAAGCAAAAGAGAAAGTGATTCTCCTCTGACATATGTAAAGATCTTTCCATGAGTGGTTTTCCACGAAAAGAAACTAATTAATCCCAATCTTACTATCAATTGAATATAATCTTAAATGTGAATCTTGATTTGTTTTTATCATGCTATTCTATAGGTTGAATCAATGATACTCTTATTTAAACAAACAAATATTGACCATAAGTGTATTTGCGCCCGGTAACTAATTTTAGCCAATAAACTATCACGTGATAAAACCGTAATTGCGACTCAATTGTTATTTTATATATTTAATGAAATAGAATTCTCTGCTTGGAAAGAATTGTGAATTATTTTTAGTTATCTATTTCATAAAAATTGCAACCATATCCCATATATTGTATAGAGGTTCACGCACTTTACTCGTATATTATGTGTTCTCCTGCTTATATACAATTTCAGTATTGTAAAGAAGAAAATACGAATGAAATGTGATTGACAGGTTTATTGTTCTGTTGATAATCCGATAACTTAACACAAGATTGTCTTGTCAATCACCAACGTCTTAAAGGTGATCCCTGTTAAGAGCAGATTCAGTGTTGATGGACAATGTAATCTCAGTAATAAACCAGTTCCACGTTCTGTTTTTTATCACATTTCATGCATTCACACTTCAGTGCATTCAAATCTATAAAGAAAGTGTCAGTCATCATCACACAAATTTATGTGCGGATTCATAAGATGACTTGTTGTTATGAATTGTTATAAAATTCACAGTTCTTTGTGCGTGTGGGTGCTGTGATTAGAAGCCTTTACGTTTTGTTATCAAAATTAAACACATTCAGTAGGTGCTAATGTCTGAATTTCATGTTTTCAAATTTGCTTACATATCTTTGTTCTCTTTCGGTACCGAAACATTGATGTGAATATCACGTTTTGAAACGAAGGGTACAATAGGTATTACTTCATGAAATTATAACGTTAAAGCGTCCTTAGTTACAGCCTATAACAATACCTTAAATGAATCATTAATCATTTTGACTGTATTTCAATTAAAATGAAAGACCAACAGTGAGATTTCAGGATCAACAACATGGAAATCAATTAACTATAACCCTGGCAATTTCCGAAGAAAAAAAGAAACAACCCTACGCTACATTTTAGCAAGGTTTATTTTCGTTCAAAAATCAACTTCAGTCTTTGTCTACTGATAACGTTTTCATTGACTGACTTCCGAAGTTCTTAACTTACCCAGTTTCTTTTATACTTTCAGGGCAAGTTATTGGCAAAATTAGACGAAAAAGATAAACGAGACGATCCTAATGGGAATGACGAAGAGGTAAATTATTTTTTAAATTGATATTTATAAGTGATAAGGAAGTTGTGCTCAATTGTAACCATATCCTGCATTATCCTATAATATAATTTAAAACGGTCAAAGCTCTATGAGATTAAAGTGTGATCAGGTGTCCAGAATGAGATACCTTACATGCCTAAGGACATTTATGAAAAATAAAAATACAACAAGGTGAGTTTCCTGCAGGTCCAAGACCTCACCTCCAAGAAAGATCATGTATATGAATTTTCATGTTTATACATAGTTATTACTTTATTTCTGCCGTCTTATTGAGACAAATCGGACATGTCTGTGAGTTATACAAATAATTGATTTAACCGTTTTATTTACTCAATAAATAATATCTAACAATATTTTGACAGCAAAATTATACAGAAAATAGTCTGTAATAGACATTTCGTGTAAAAATAGACTAAAGACTCTAGGAGGTTATTCTGTTCATCAAACTAACACGATATAATGAGCAGGAGGTACAACTTCATTTTGTTGCTAAAATTAGATATCTATTTTGAAATTCTACTTTCAGAAATTTTGTGTGTAAAATTATTCACGGATATGGATGTAGAAAGAAGAAGTACATGTTTATATTAAAAAATATAATTTATTCATTTCATAACCTTTGTCTTGACAAATAATTTATTATATTCTTACTTTTCAGTGCGTCATTTGTATGGGTGCTAAAGCAACTATGCAAACCTTTCCATGTTCACATAAAGTTGTATGCCGAAAATGTTTTATAAAGACTATCCAAGTGGCCGTTTCGCAACGCAGCCTACCATTACGTTGTGTCATATGTCGAGCGAGAATTTTGAAATTACGCCAAGCAGCACTACCAAAAGTTGCCGTCACAACACCAACGAATGCAGTAGCTCGAACTATGCCTAAATCACCTAGTCTTTTCCAATGTGTCAAGTAAATAATATAATTTGTACCCTAAATAACATCTTCCGTTTACTAAGAAAATTATAGCAATCAGACAATTTGGGTGTATGGCTTATCTGTAATTGGTTAGTTGAACTATACAGCATACCTTATTTATTTTTCATATTGTTTTATTATTCTTCCCAGTTCTGTGAGTGAGTAAGTGAAAATTCCGATGACATGTATTAGAAATAATGCTTGATGAGTCCTGCACAGTAGCAATATAATTGTTGCTCTATGAGTTTGTTCTATTTTTTGTTTAAATTTTTGTTGAGTTTGATCTTGTGTCCGTTTATTGGCAATTCAATATATTTCCAGTTTTAGTTGATTACCCACGTGAGTGCCTGTACATTATGATTGCTACATATCGCATCTTTTACATATCAAGATTTTTCATCAACGTTGCAAATATGATCTGACCTGTTATTGGGTCTTTGTGAGAAATACCCAGTCGGTACGATGAGTGTTACTTGCTAAATTAAGTGGCCGAAAATGTATTGAATTCAAGAATATCTAAATTCTAAAAAAAAAACCAATATACTGAATTAGAAAAACCCAATCAATCACATCTTTTGGTCGGCAAGTTAATTATCTAATTTCAAGAATGCCAAAACACAATCTTTCTTGTATGACTTCATCGTGATGCCATCAGGTGATCAAAAGGTGTTCTTGCCATTTACCTACAAGACGACATCCCTTACCAAACACGTAAAATAAAGTCAAGGCTACTTCAGATTAGTCCAATAATGGATAGAAGGCAACGGGAAGCCAATGATCGAACATGAACAGATAGTTATTGACAGGTCAGGGTGGAAATAATCACTTTTTTCTTTACATCATGCATGGAAACTCATTTTCTCTGTTCGTATGATTAGTTCATTCTAATTACTGTATGTAGTAACGAACTGAGGTCAAATTGGGGACAAATCTACATTAAGATTCATCTAGACTAGATTACATTTCTCTGAGTGATGATGATAAGTGTTATAATGACACTGTTTGATAAATACTGTATTCCAATATACCAAGAAAGTTTCAATCACCATGTCGAAAACTACTTTTATGAGATGAGTCAGTTTGTTGATAGTGAATTTTGAATTGTACATTCGCAATGTAGATTTACAATACGTTCAAAAATATCCACTGCATTTTGTGAATTGAAATACATAAAAATAACATTGTATGTTTTTGAGCAGATGATAGTTTGCTGTAGATTCAAATTAGATAATTCATTATTATGCTTCTTTGTATCAAGTATGTGTTGTGCTTTTGAGCTTTTTCGTGCATACCCAATTGTGTACGCATGGTTTTCTTTTTCGATAAGCACACAACTTGGTCAAATCATAGGCATATCACTAGTAGTTGTAGTATTTGATGATTTAAGATTATGTGATACTGTTTTCTGAACCCCTAACAGAGAATGATACGCTAATAACATCATTATAATGATAGCAGTTTTAGATTTAATTTAGAAAATTTATTCTAGAATGGCAAGTCAACAGGAAAGTATTTAGAGATAAATTGTGAATAATGGGATCTAATTATGAATAATAAAATACGAATTTACAAATAATTCTATTTTCTTTTCTTTCAGGACAAAATGTTTTTAATTATACTTATCATCATTAAGCCTCGTAATTATTCATGTATTTACAAATCGTTAGGGTTTCAGAAAAGACTATTCACGCTTTTGGCTGAGAAAACACTTTAAAATTTCAGATTAGGTGCCTTTCCAATCTCCGTCATTATCATGGTGCATATAGATAGTTGTTTGCATGTTAATTTGAAAGCTTTCATTGTATGTATGTATGGGTAGATGTGGTTTTTTGTGTTTATCTTAAGTCCATACTTATATTGAATGTTTTTCTGTTTTGTTAATATGACGTAGGCTTTTTTCTGGAAAATTTATTTATGCAGACTATTTGGATTCTTCTATTTATTTCAAAAGTTTTTTACGATGCATTGCAAAACTCGTTTCAATACGTTTTGGGGAAAGTTTCTTTGTACCACGTATATGTTGTGATGTGTGCTTTCACCGTTAAGTTTATTTTATGTGATATGCATTTTGTGCTTGTACTGTGATAACAGAATTAAGTGATTGTGGTACTTTTTGTACTTTTGTTTAGTCCATTTTTTATAAGCTTCTGGAAAAAAAACAGATTTAGAACGTGTTACGTTTTGTTATTTAATATTATTAATGCTTTTTTAAATGTTATAGAAGTTTTAGCTTCTGGCTTATTCCTATGGCGCTCTAGTTATTAAATGGGTGAACATGATCTAAAAGGAAATGTTTTCATAAATATCATTTTGTCTGATGTGATTATTTAAGGCGTATTAATTTATATAGTTATTGTATGATATTCTATATGATTTTCACAGTTCTTATACCTCACTGTGTTAAAATGTATGATGTGTGTAATATAAAAACTAATTTGAATGTAGTATTTCGAGCATAAGATAAGCAAGTATTATTGGTTATAATTTAAATGCCAAAATTTATTATAAGAAGTAGCATTAGTAATGTGTACATATGAAAAGCAATTTGTATAGTAAGATAGATTATAGATATATATTTATATAGATTCATGTTTGTATATACATATAGCCTAAAAGTTCAGTCCAAAAGTGTAAATGAACTTACAAACTGTAAAGCGAACACGAAAACTGTAAATTAACCTGAAAAGTGTATAGCTAGTTATGCTGACAGTCCAAGCTGCAAAAACCTAAATGACATGAATGTTTGCTAATATTTTAAAAGGTTGTTGTTTATTAAAAAATCCTCCGTGCATTCTTTCACTACAAGCTATAAAAATCGTTCATGTTCCGCCAGTAAAACCAAGATCTCTGGCAATACAGATCTATGGTGAAGCCACCTATGATATCTTAGATATTTGAAAGAAAATTTAGTTTTATTTTGAGGAGGACTAGCATATCATGAAAGTATACACTACTTTTTAGATTTTCGAATTTCTTTATGGTATCACTGAAAGAATTCCATCGAATACCTATGATATATAAAACTAAAATCATTCATATATATATATTAAATGTCAATCAAATCAACAGGATAGCACATACATTATTAAAGCACTTTACATAATTGTGTTTACATTTAGCTCTTGTGTAATTATGAATTTGATAAACAGGATTTAATACTCGAGTTTCGTGTCAGCTTTCGTTCTGAATAGGTTGATCGTTTGATCAACATCAAATAACACCTCGTGTTATATGAATTAATAAAGTAACACATATTAGGAAAATCGTAATTGGAGGCTTGGTTATTTCTTTCGTTTGCTTTTTGTTTCTACCAGAGAATTATTCTATCTGTTTTATTATTGAAAAGTTATATAGATGTATCCATTTCAAACAACTCTCCAGATGACAAACTACGATCAGTATTCGACAGGGTGTCAGTATATGATTCACTGCATTGATATTTGTACATATTGTATTATAATCAGATATAAATATTAGTATATAAGTGGATAAAATCACATCTCTGTTCACCGGAGTCATTGAGAACAGGAATACAATGTTTTTGTACTGAAGTCGCAAAAGATTTACTACTTTGATAGAGTCAAGCGGAAACGCTATGGTATCAAAACATCACTTTTATTATATATTATTGAAGTGCATCAATCGTGATATTGGAATCAAAAGTATGCATAGAATGTCATATACTTTGAACTATTCAAACCGGATCTTTTCTGAATACGTTTAGTATATGTTTGAACCAACAATGTTAGTGAGAAGAACGACAGTAATAGTTCTAATGTTAAATGCTAATCTGATAAAAAGGTAGATTTCAAGTTTTCAAGGTAGATTCTTGACATCCATATTTAAACATTAAAATGACAACTATTTGTTATAGTTACAAATTATATTGTTTTGGAGCTTTTGACATACCACTCTATATCTATCAACAATCTGTATGTAAAAGATGTTATATTACAATAACGTTGCCAAATAAAATATATAAAAACATGTGTTTAGTTTTTAATCGTTTTCTGGCAAATGGGTAAATGTCACCATTTGTGTAATGGACAATGATAAATCAAGGCTTGAACAACTACCATGCCATGATATCCACGAGTCTTGAAAGCTTTTTCGTAACAGTTGCACTCAGATGTTTGTTGTGGATAATCATATGATGATATCATAATCATTACTATTGAAGTAACCTGTGGTACCCTACCTTAGTCTCTTTGTACTCGCAAGCTATCAGAGTTATTTTGTGTGGTTTATTGGTGATGTCCAATTATAACATTGGTGCTGAAAAATAGAACGTATAATTCCAGTCATCTCATTTCATTTCCAATTAAAACAAAGTAGCGAGACGCTTTATATGAAGAACTTGTGGAACCTGTGCGGCCAAACATAATTAAAATTGTCGAATCTAAAAAATGTTAAAACTAAAGTTGATATTAAAGAAATAATAATCGAGTTTGATTCAAATCTAGATTTTAAAACAAGTCATTTTTATTTTATTATAAAGTATCTGATATATCTTACCTAAAGTTGGCAAAAGATAATTAATTTCATTAGATTTTATAGTGTGCTGACTGATATTAAAATAAAAGAAAAGTCGTTTATTATACTAGCTATGAAAAGAAAAAGAATAAGGGTAGTAAAATGATGAATGAGATATAGTCTCACTTGGTCCGTCAAGTTCTGTCCCTCCACTGTAAACACTCTGAAATATTAATAAATTTTGAAATATGTCTTATAACTAATAATAAGTCGTCACTTGCACAAGGATTATAGCTTAAGATCGTGCTCGTTCCACTGTGAATGAAAAATGCCATGGTGATGTGTGCCATTTTGTAGTGAGCCAGATCTGATCAAATTCAAAATTCGACTAATTCAAAATTAATCATTACTTCTTGAACTATCGAGCACTAATTTTCTAAAATGACCTTAAGTGGTAAATTTTTGATTAATCACGGGAATATATGTAGGTTATATATTTCAACGGCTTGTGACCCTTAAGGACTG